AGTCATCAGGGCCTTCTGTCAATATTCCTGCTTCTAGGATAAGACAAGATAGGTATTCTAGGTCACTTAACACCACAAACAAAAACTGAAGAGTAATTTCTCAATTTGAAACTCTAGGGCTACGTCTAGACTGGCATGATTTTCCGCAAATGCTTTTAACGGAAAAGTTTTCCGTTAAAAGCTTTTTCAGAAAAGAGCGTCTAGATTGGCATGGATGCTTTTCCGCAAAAGCACTTTTTGTGGAAAAGTGTCCGTACCAATCTAGACGCGCTTTTGCGCAAAAAAGCCCCGATCGCCATTTTAGCAATCGGGGCTTTTTTGCGCAAAACAATACAGTGCTGTCTATACTGGCTCTCTTGCGCAAATGATTTGCGCAACAGGGCTTTTGCCCGAACGAGAGCAGCATAGTATTTGATGCTTTTCCGCAAAAGCACTTTTTGTGGAAAAGTGTCCGTACCAATCTAGACGCGCTTTTGCGCAAAAAAGCCCCGATCGCCATTTTAGCAATCGGGGCTTTTTTGCGCAAAACAATACAGTGCTGTCTATACTGGCTCTCTTGCGCAAATGATTTGCGCAACAGGGCTTTTGCCCGAACGAGAGCAGCATAGTATTTCCGCAAGAACACTGACAATCTAACATGAGATCGTCAGTGTTCTTGTGGAAATTCAAGTGGCCAGTGTAGACAGCTGGCAAGTTTTTCCGCAAAAGCAGCTGATTTTGCGGAAAAACTGGCCAGTCTAGACACAGCCTAGGGGAATTTAGGTAGAACATAAATACCAGTAGACAGGATACCAAAGTTAGGATCCTTACTCTTATATAAAGTTCTGTAAAAATCTTCCAGTAAGCACAAATTGTCTCAAAACAGCACTGACAGCAACATAATTCTCTGTTGCATCATGCTAGGTGACAGTTCAGTACTGACTGAGGACACTGCTTTTCTATCCTCCGTTGCTAGGAGCAGAGAATTGTATTGGCCTGTGTCACTGATGTTCCACACAAAGCATCTCCAATCATAGCAGGAGAGTGAAACAGTCTAGGCCAGACCACATCACTTACATTTTGTTCTTTTTTTTAGTGCTGTGTGCATGACCATCCTGGGGGAGAATATAAAAATAAAACAGAAAAGGGGAGAAACAGAACTGGAATGAAGATTTAAAAAAATGGACAGTCGGGACAGCAAAAAGTTGAAGCTAAGGAGAGAACAAGAAGCAGGGACGAGATGAGCTCAAACAGAAAAAATGGGAAGGGAATAACAAAAAATAAAAGTGTGTGTGTGCATGTATGCAACACTAGTTGTAACACTGTTTAAGAACCAAACAAACTCATGCTTGCATGCCCATTCTTTGTATATACTAGCAGGTGGAAGATGTTAGCAAACACATTAATAACCTATTGTAGATAATGCAGCTTGCCTTTAACACATTACATACGTGAGAAAAATAACCAAATGGTCCTCAGTACAATTAAATACTGTGCAGATAATTATCGCATCGCTGATGTCAATGTTTCAAAAAGCACTACAAGACAGAATATTGTTACCCTTATTTTTACTTTATTCAGAGTCTAGTGTGTTGCTTCAGATAGGTGAAGAAGTTGATTTGAAGTCAGCTGTTTCTCTGATGCAGTCCTCTTTATTTATAAAGTCCTGCTTCCCTAAACTCAGCAGGCAAACAGTTTCCTTGCTCACAGTTCAAGGCGCTTTTCCAATCAGAATTTAGCCCTAAATGTCTCTAGATTTTTCTCAGATTCCCAATGCTTATTCTGGCTGTCCTTACGCAAGAACAGCCATTCCTGCGCAAAAACTTGCAGAGCATCTACACTGCATGTGTGTTCTTGCACAAGTAAATTTACAGTAAGGAGTTGGAACAAAGGGCTTCTTGCACAAGAGTTACTCCTCTCCCCATGAGGAATAAGCCCTCTTGCACAAGAGCTCTGCGCAGGAAGGCAGTGTAAACAGGCAACAGGTTTCTTGCACAAGAAACTCCTATGGCTAAAAAGACCATCAGAGCTTTCTTGTGCAAGAGAGCATCCACACAGCCGTGGATGGTCCTGCACAAAAGCACATCTCTGCACAAAAGCACATACCAGTGTGGATGCGCTCTTGCGCAAGACCTTTTGTGCAAGTATTCTTGCGCAAAACAGTTCTTTCCCCAGAAGCCTCCATATAGATGTAGCCTATGTTTTTCCTGGCCCTACAGACACATGCACACAGCTCTACCAGTCAGTGCCAAAACCCATGTGTTTGCTATGTCAGGTTCTAGGGGAGTCCACACAAGAAACTTTTTATTACAAAAGGCAGAGAAAGCACATATGCGAGAAGTTGTTTTTCTAATAGATTTGGAAAAATAGGGAAGAACTAGTTGAGAATTTGAAGGTGGAAGGCACCTTCAGTGAACTTGCAATACAAGTTCATTGTTATGACTTGACATCAACTAAACGTGTAATTTCATCTAAATAAGATATCTTATTTAGATGAAATTTCAAGTTTAAGTTGATAAAGATAGTAGTGTTGATGTAATATACTTTGGTAAATCATTTGATTTGGTAACCATTTGAGTAAAAAACTAGAAAGATTCAAAATTAACATGGCACACATTCAGGGCTGGCCCGAGGGCATGTGCGGGCCGGCCACGGCTGCTGGCGCACAGCCTGGGGCCCCCCCCTGGGGCACAAGGCGCATGCGCAGCCCGGCCCAGCCAGTGCAGCTGGCGCGCGCGCCGGGCTGTGCAGGGGCCTGTGGCCGTGGGGGGAAGGGCTCTGCTGGTCGGCACTGCGGAGCCGGCGCTGCAGGAGCCGGGCGCGCGGCGCCTGATGGCAGCTGTAAGGGATGCCGCGTGCCCCTTACAGCTGCCATCAGGTGTCCCCCAGCAGTTGGCGCCCTGGACAGCTACTTGGCTTGGCCATGCCTCCGTCCGGCCCTGCACACATTCAATGGTTTAAAACCAGTCTAAAGGATTTGTGTCAAAATGTAATCATCATTTAATGGGCCCGTTTCTAGTGCAGTGTTTTGCAGAGTGGGCTGTGGGCCTGCTTTGGGAAAGTCACTAATGGGCCCTCACTGCTTTGTTTACTTAAAGGGTCCATAGCTACTGAGCCTTGCAGCTCCCATTGGCTCTAGTTTGCCATTTCCAGCCAAGAGGAGCTGCAGGAAGTTCCATGACTATGGACCCTTTCGGTAAACAATGCATTGAGGGCCCAGTAGTGGCTTTCCCAAAGCAGGCCTGCGTCCCACTTTAAGAAACACTTTTCTAGTGGGTCACATATGGATCTATTCTTGATTCTACACTAGACAATTTCAAGAAGAAATTGTCCTGGAAAAAATAATAATGAAAAAAAACACTGAAAGGTTTTGGATGACAAAAACTAGATGAACGATAAATAATGAAGAGGACAGGTCACTGTTCACTGGTCATTGGAATTGCTGCTGATGCTAATATAGGGTACTGCCAGACCCTAATTTAGCCATACATTCCTTGATTAAATCCATTTAGACCACGTAATGTTATGTAATTACTCTAAACATGTTTAAAGCCTAAATAATAATCAGTTACTACAACCAAACACCACCACATATTTCTAAGTAGTTATTTAATACTTACAGAGTATGAGACACAGGGATGTTCAAACCTATGCTGACTGGCTCCAGTTTGGTCAGCCAGGTATTAGTGATGAGCCTTCTAAGAGCTCACCCTTTTCTGCTTTTTTTAACAAAGTTATGTCATGCCAATTGCTAATTTTCCTAGTTTAAGGCTAGACTCTGTTCTTAGGCCTGAGGTAGGCAAGATTTCTGACCGAACTTCCTCTTTTCCAAATCTTTTTATTAATTATTATTATTATTATTATTATAGTTCTTCCCAATTGCTGACCAACAGTTCGTCTGCTGAAGTTTATATAAAAACAAGTACTGCTTCAAGGTAATATTGCTATGCTCAAGTTATTACTTTGTCAACATGTACAACCCTTCTTTCTTGTTCAAACTAGTTAGAACCATCTATGATAATTAGAGGCTCCTCTTATCAGCTACATTTTTACAACTTCTTTCCAATTACATTTTTTTCTAACTTTTAAGCTCAGTATTTCCAAGGCTTTCTCTTGGCTGCTAAACCCCCTTTATTTACCAATCTAATTCCATAGTTTCTGAGCATGGGTATTTTCACTAACTTGGTATTTCACTATTTTGTCAGCAAGTTCTATCATGCCTGACAAACTCATTACATTTATCACCTTGCTATCATGATATCAATCTATAAAGAATGTGTGAGTATCAAATGAAAGCTGGTGACATTGAGAAATGCCTTTATTATACAATGAGGAATTATTAATACTTACTGATATTATGTTTTAAGTCTGTAATCAAACTAAGGGAGGAATAATGGGTTGTCTTCCAGATGAGAGAGAGAATAGTTATCCTCATGCTTCTAATGGGAACTGAGCAAGCTGATGCCAGAGATAGTAGATAGTTCATTTGCTTTGGAAATAAACAGGAGGAACACATGAGGATGTGAAATTGGCCTGGGAAGATGCTGCAGTCTGAACCCCAGGGATTCATCCTGACTCTGATGTCAGAGACAAACTTTGGGGACTGTAAGGAGAAGCAAAAAGACATTTTGGATAACCATCCTTAGAGACGAGGTCAGTGGTATTTGCATGGTGGATCTCCTTAACATATGGGTGTGTGGCTGTTTTAGGTAAAAATCTTACTTTAGTCACTTAGAAGCATGTTATCTTTTCTTTTATTTGTAACTATTTCTCTATTACTTTTGCTTAGTATCTTTTGAATATATTCTTTATTAATAAACTTACACTATAAGTTCATAAAACTGAAGTGTTAATATAAAGTATGACTTCTCAGATGAGCCAAGATGTTGCTGCATGTTTTGTCTCATTGGAGACAGCGAACTTGGTAATTTCTGTGGGTGGCTGTAGACAGGGGCTAGATGCTGCAGAAAATTGCTTCTGGAGAGTTCAGGAAGTAAATGCATCAAGGATTAACTTGCAAGGAAAAGTTAGGACTGTGGAGTCTTGAGGAATCTGTGGGGCTGACTAACAAATCTGAGTGAAAAAGAGTTTAGCACCAGCAATTCCCATTTATATGAGGCAAATGGGTAACGGGGTATGTCTACACTACCCCGCTAGTTCGAACTAGCGGGGTAGTGTAGACATACCCTAAGGTATTAATAATATAGTTAAGATTTGAGATACATAGGTCCCCCAATTGGTATTATTACGTTCAAGTATGAAGAAGCAATTTTTCCAAACAAAACTAACCAAGATTACAAGATCACCAATTTAAATCTATTCAGAAATAAAACTAGGCAATCCCGGTTACAATAAAGTGTCATCCATTTTGGCCACATCTTCACCTCATGCAAGTAATGGTCAGGACTCTCCCTACTTCTTATGCAATATGAGTGCCACTCAACCACAATTGGTCCTAAAGGCTCGCTTACCCCATCATGTTCCATAACACGACTCAAGGACAATGCTTCACAAATACTGTAGATCATGGAGTTTGCATAGCTAATGGAGACTTACCATTCTGGACACACTGAAGAAGTATCACATGCTGATATAGAGCAATTTGGATTGCTTGGTAATTTGGGCAAAGCAAATATGCATGTTTTTATATTGTTAAAATTCAATGTATGTAGCGAAGAACAAAAGCGTGTTAGCCATACTTGCAGGATGGAGACCTCTTTCTTGGGAACAGTGACTGTAAAAGAGTTGTAGGGACCATAATGGATAATCAGTTAAACGTCAGTTCCCGGTACAATGCTACAGTCAAAAGGGCTACTCTGATCCTTGGATGCATATAAACAAGGGAAACTCAGTAGGGATAGAGCCTTTATTGTGTATCTTTGTATTTGGTATTGGTGCAGCTGCTGCTGGAATTCTGTTATGGATGTTAAACTGGAGAGGGTTCATAGAAGAGCCACAAGAATGATTAATTGATTAGACAATATGACTCATGGGAACAGGCTGAAGGAGATTAATAATTCATCTTAACACACAGCCCCATGTAGACTGTAAGAACCTATATAAGGAACAAATAGTTGATGATGGGACTCTTTACTCTAGCAGAAAAAGGTATAACACGCTCCAGGCTACGTCTAGACTGGCATGATTTTCCGCAAATGCTTTTAACGGAAAAGTTTTTCGTTAAAAGCATTTGCGCAAAAGCCCGTCTAGATTGGCACGGACTCTTTTCAGCAAAAAGTGCTTTTGCGGAAAAGCATCCGTGCCAATCTAGATGCGCTTTTGCGCAAAAAAGCCCCGATCGCCATTTTAGCAATCGGGGCTTTTTTGCGCAAAACAATACAGTGCTGTCTATACTGGCCCTTTTGTGCAAAAGCTTTGTGCAAAAGGACTTTTGCCCAAACGGGAGCAGCATAGTATTTCCACAAGGAGCACTGATTTCAGACAGTAGGAAGTCAGTGTTCTTGCGGAAATTCAAGCGGCCAGTGTAGACAGCTGGCAAGTTTTTCCACAAAAGCAGCCGCTTTTGCAGAAAAACTTGCCAGTCTAGACACAGCCTCCAGGGTCTGGAAGTTGAATCTAGGTAAATTAAGACTGGAAATAAAATAAGATAAAGTGAGAGTAATTAGCCATTTGAACAGACTATCACATTTTTGGTGAATGCATTACTGACAATTTTAAAGTCAAGATTGGATGTTTGTCTAAAAAGATCTGTCTAAGATCTATATTGTGGGAGTTCTATAAGTTCTATAGCCTGTGTTATATAGGAGGTCAGCCTGAACCAGCGTGGGCAAATACCAGAACGCAGGCTGGATTTGGTCCACCAAGATTAGCCCCACTTCCTGTCACTCCCATTGGCCCGAAACAGTGATCCATGGTCAACAGGAACTGCGATTGCTAGTACCTGTGCAGGTGAAGGTAAATATAATGGTGGCAATCCCCAGGGGCTAACTGCTGCCATTTTATTGCCCACCCCTAGCCTAGATGATCACAATGGTCCCTTCAGGTCTTGGAATCTATGAACCCCCTCTTGTGAGCACTTCCTGTCAGCTGGGTGTGGTGCCCCTGATAGGTTGACAGCCTCACCAGGTGAGTCTTAAATGGCTCGGCCCTCCTGTGATAAGTTACACAGTCAAAAATGGATGAACTCCTTCTGCACACAGGCTATGTCTACATTGGCATGATCTTGCGCTAATACTCTTTAACGCAAGAGTTCCTGCGTTAAAGTATTTGCGCAAGAGAGCGTCTACACTGGCATGTGCCTTTGCGCAAGAGATGTGCTTTTGCACAAAAGCATCCATGCCATGTAGACGCTGTCTTGCACATTTTAGCCATTGGGCTTTCTTGTGCAAGAAATTCATGTTGCCTGTATACACTGGCCTCTTGCGCAAGAACAGTTGTGCAAGAGGGCTTATTCCTGAGCGGGAACTTCATAGTTCTTGCGCAAGAAGCACTGATTTCACACATTAGAACATCAATGTTCTTGTGCAAGAACTCCCTGCCAGTGTAGACAGGCAGCATGTTTTTGCGCAAGATCGCGCCAATGTAGACACAGCCTTAGTGTTGTAGGCTATGTCTAGACTGCAGGCTTCTTTTGGAAGAAGCTTTTCCAGAAGAGATCTTCTGAAAAAACTACTTCTGAAAGAGAGCGTCTACACAGCAAAAGCGCATTGAAAAAGCAATCTGCTTTTTCGCAAGATAGTGTCCACACTGAATGGACGCTATCTTGCATTTAAGCTGTGATTATTATGGATGGAGTGGCCACCAGGGCACATGTGCTTTTTCCTCTTTCTTCTTCTTTTGAAAGAACTCCCTCTTCCCCGTCCACACACACCTTTTTCCGAAAGAGCTCTTTTGGAAAAAAGCCTCTTCCTTGTAGAAAGAGGTTTACCAATGTTGGAAAAACCCCTCTGTACTTTTGATTTTTTTTTTTTTTTTTAAAGAATGCAATTGCAGTGTGGACGTAAGCGACTTTTTTTTAGGAAAAATGGCTGTTTTTCTGAGAAAACTCTGCAATGTAGACATACCCATAGAATCCATTCCTGACCTGTTGTCGAGAACTGCCCCCATGGTCTTACCAGTTGTCATTGCCCAAATTCTCCAGCCAGGCCACGTCCCAAGTTTAGTTCCTTTCTGAGGTTCAACAAATGATTGAACATCTCCAGAGTTTTCAGCCCCATCTCTGTGCTGTTTTAAATCTAGCTTTTTTCTTGGGCTTTTAAACTAGCCATGTTCCCTTTCCAACACTGGCTGGGGATGGGGCATATGTCTCAGGCCTGCTTAATTCTTCAGGTCCCGTTCTAGGGATCCTGGGCCAGCAGCCACATACTCCTTCCCTTAATAGTTACTGTTGCATTCCTAGTTGTTGCCACCACCTCATGTTTTAACTTATGGCCATAATCCTTGGGTTTTCTCTGTGGGTACGTCTACACTACGGTGTTATTTCAAAATATCTTATTTTGAAATAGTTACAGTAAAACTCCATTAGTCCGGCATCCAATGCTCCGGGACTCCTGATGGTTCGGCACCATCAGGAACCCAGAAGTGCTGGGGCAGCCGGACAGGCTTCCCCCATTCAGCTGCTGCTGTCAGATCACAGAATTTCTACAGATATACAAAATGTACACAGTTAGTCAAGTTTTCAATGATAACCATTATCAGACACCGAAAATAGTCTTATTGAACTATTACTTTGAAAGTACAGGTTGCACCTCTATAAACCAGAACTCTCTGGTCCAGCAACATCTGTGGCTCAGAAAGACCATGGATGTTCCAGGATCAGGGAGTCCTGACACACTGCAGGGGGAGGGGTGCTGGGAGCCCAGCGAGATATAGGGTGAGGGAGGACAAGAGGTGAGAAACCCAGTGTGTTGTTCACCTGGATTGCAGGTGAGGACTGGGAGCCAGCACACAACTCATCTGGGCTGCAAGAGGGGGCCAGGAGACTGAGGGTGGGGAGGCAGGACAAGTGGTGGGGCCAGCAGCAGAGGGAGGAAGAAATGACTGGCAAAATCCCTCAACCAGGACCAGTCAGGCTCCAAGCATGCTGGACCAAGGAAATCCAACCTGTAAGATGGCATTCATTTCTAGATAAATCACAGTGTTTTACTTGATCAGCATACCAAACTGTAAAAAAATGTAATATAAAAAATGTGAAAAAAGATCAAAAATCTTTACATGTCCTAGTGATTATTACACATTTCCCTTGTTGCCATGCTAAAATCACTATGCAGAATTAAAAGGAACGAATTTTCATTCAAGAATATCTATTAGTAGGTATGGTAAATAATTCTGTAGTTAAAGCAGGCAACTATTTCGTATCATAACAGAATGCTGTAGAATAATAACATTGCAAGCATTGAAGTAAATAAATAATAAATAAAGAAAGTAACAAACATGAGAAGGCTGTCACCACTTCTTCAAACAACCCTGATTCAGAACAGTTGCATAAATTTGAACTAAATGAAAGATGGAATTTTGGCAAGGGCACTAAGTTTATCCCAAGGGCCTTTTCTTTATCTTTGGCCTCTTTTCCTAGTGAACATTCATTAGCTACGAGAAGAATGCAGTATTATGTTACTCATATGATCACCGGTTACATAATAGATGCATATTACTTGCAAAATTACATTCAAGGACAGTATCAGAGGGGTAGCTGTGTTCGTCTGGATCTGCAAAAGCGACAAGGAGTCGTATGGCCCCTTATAGACTAACAGATGTATTGAAGCATCAGCTTTCGTGGGCAAAGACCCACTTCGTCAGATGCGTGACATGCAACTGCCAAAGTGGGTCTTTGCCCACGAAAGCTTATGCTCCAATAAATCTGTTAGGGTGTGTCTACACTTCAGCGTTATTTCGAAATATCTAATTTTGAAATAAGTTATTTCGAAATAGCTTATTTCAAAATAACACATCTACATACAAAATGCATTTCA